TCTTCATTTTCCTCCCGTTCCCTCTCTTCACCCTCCTCTCCCTCTCCTTCCTACCCCTCTCGTCTTGCTTTTTCGCACTTATTTTCACGAACCACGGTGTAGTCAGTCACTACAGTCTTCAATTTCCTCCGGTATTGTCTGATTTCTCTATTGTGTGGATTTGTCCTCTGCCGCACATAAATATCGCCCCACCTATAGTCCGTAGGTCGCACTCTCATAGGTCTTTGTAAAGGGTGAAAAATGACCGTAGTATGTCGACTTCCGTAACAGACCATTGATCGGATACTGTTTGCTCTGCTGGTGGGTGGTGACAACCACCTTGAGTTGCACTCTACTCGAACATTCACTTCTGCCACCCTCCTATTCTAGATGCAAGGAGACGCAGTGTTGAGTGGTTTTTTGACTGCGGGACAGTCATATGTTGGCCACTTTTACTACTGGATATTGGGCGGGAATACAGTGTCGCAACACTTAGAATTGTCTATTCCCCCACCAGTCTGTCTTACGGGCGGACTACTACTACTACTACTACTACTACTACTACTGCTACTACTACTACTACTACTACTACTGCTACTACTACTACTACTACTACTACTACTACTACTACTACTACTACCGCTGGTGGGAATACAGTGTCGCAACACTGAAGAAAACTTTTCCCCCGTCTACCACCACTGATACGGCGAATACTACTAATAATCCTACTATTAGTACTACTACTACTACTACTACTACTACTACTACCACCACCACCACGGCTGCCAACGCTACTCTACCAACGCTTACAGTATGGGTAACTAACTGCAATAATACTAGCATCAGTAACGGAGTGTTACGACACTGGTATCCAACCGGATATTGCATTAAATCACTTGATTGATTGAAGCTCGTTCGGACTCGAACTTGCCACTTTTTCCTTCTCATACAAAACGTCAGGTCTGTATTAAAAAAATTTTTGCATCTATCGCACGGAAAGAGAGAAGAAAATGTGAGATTAATATGACGTCAGTCCTCCAAAAATCACTTCTGACTGCACCTACCGCAGTTCTGTCTTGGCGAGTTTTTTTTTATGAGCCAGCCATCGGTGGCGTCGGTAAAGAAGTCGAAATTCGTGAAATGTGGTTTCGGTTGACAAGAATTACCTAGGTAGGGTTGTAATATGGACTGTCGCGCAGCGTAATCTCAAGACGTGTCTGTGAGGCTAGAACGCCGGCGTTTGAAGGCGCTCATTTTCGGCCACCTGCACGAACCACAGTCGATAAAAAGGGACTGCTTAAGTAGTATTCATGTTTGCACCTCTGAAGATTGTGGCGCGACCGGTAATGTTCAGCATACCTTTGTTTTGCAGTTTCTTCCAACAAGAATAGGGTTTGAGTAGTTGTCGCAGTTTTTTTTCGGGGGCAACCAGTAACAGTCGCACGCTACACAACTGACAAGTCCTCCCCTCGTGCTCAGACGCGTTTTTGATGACGAAACTGTGCAAGACTCAGATTTTCCCGCGTGATTGCCGGTGGCACATGATATTTTGTAGTTTTGTGAGGGGGGTCATCGAGCGGATGTGTGGGGTAAAGTCGTCGCGGCATAATTCCTCTGTCCTTATCCAGAATGTAATACACCCGCGAACACGGTGCTTTTGATCCGCCGACGTGCACATTATTCACTTCAACATTGAGATTGCGAGCTGATGAGAAATAGACGCGATCGCTGACAGAAGAGCTTTGTTTGCCTGATGTTTCGGACTCATACTCGAACCCATCATCAGAGACAGCGTCAGATACGAGTAACTCATACACAAGGGTTTACAGCATTCACAGAGCGCTGTTGCCATGCAACCGCAAACCGAGCAGACCTAACGATTCCTCCCTTCATCGCCAACTGCCGCCCATGGTGCGATAATTGCATGATAACCGGCTTTTTATTCGTCAGTTGCTTATATCAGCAGAACCCGACAGGCAGTAGGAGGTGCTTTCCGTAAAATATTACCTGAGATTCTGATATATGATCTCAGTTAGAAAGGATTACTTAGGGGGGGTTTCAGTATTTCAGAAGAATAAAAAGATGATGATGATGATGATGATGATGATGATGCAATCGCTGGAACAAGAAGTTTATTGGCCTGACGTTCTGGATTCTCACTCGACCCCACCATCAGAGACATTCGCAGACAAGGGTTGGGGAGACACAAAGACTGCAGTATTTATAGTACGTAGCTGCCGTGGGGCTACATGCGTGCTATAATTTACAGATCTGGTGATCACCGCTGGGGGTCGTGATTGAGGCGATGGTGGCTCGTCAGTTCGCGTCCGAGTCTTCTTCTGAACTGCTTGCCGGATCTCGCCTGCTCGCCTCTATCGGTTGCAGTGTTGTTTTCCATGCAGCATAATCGATGCTTTTGAATGCACGTCTTTCTGGCTGCCGGCACAACTGAACTCGCCAAGATGGCTACTTGAGTAACATGACTTTGGCATTGGTTTTGTACGCCCGCATAAATCCAAACATACAAAAAGCAAGTGCGTGCACAATAATACTCTTTCTTTTACTTGCTTTTTAGTAAGCTGCGTCTTCAAATTTTTTTACTCAAAGCAAGGGTACCTTTGGATTTCGAGGTCTTTGAATTAAGAGATTATGTGTATTCAAGTAGTGCTCCGGATGAAGTATACAACTCGATCCTACAAAATCCTATGAGCTCAATGTGGTACCTTCAAAATGGCATAGAGTAATTTATGATTTCCTTTAAATGGGAAGTGTACAGCATGTGCTATGGGAATGCAAAGACTGTTCAGGAATCGAAGAACTTTTTTGCAACCGAAGGGTAATCTTGATTTGGGTAAAAAATTTGAAGGCATAATTTGCTACCAAGTGGGTCCGAAGAAAACCCACGTCTTGGATTTATAGGGGAAATGCAAATCAGTGGAGAAAATCATGCCGCTTATGTAATCATTTTTAGAGCGAGGACCTTTTTCAGGCGGCTGGAAAAAGTGCACCCTGTCAGGGTTAAAATGTCTCTGAGTTATGTTATTCTGCATTATAATCCGTCTAATAACCCCATTTAAGTAATCCTTTCGTACTCCAGAATTTGAGTTAATATTTAGTGCGGTACGTTGCCTACTGTGCATCGCCGCTTGGCTGGTTTCTGACAAACATAACGCATCTTTTCAAGTTTTGTCGCCGAGTTCAGGTTCCTGGCTCGGAACCCTTGACAGCTTTGCGCTTTCCTGCACGGTAGTGTACCTCCTGTGCTATTCCATCAGTCTCCAGGTGTGGTAATGGTTATTTTGAACTCTGTTCCACACATTATATCATTCCTTTTCCCGCTCCTTTGTCTTTTACAGACCTGTGTCGCAAGTAAAAGTCATTAGCAAGAAGAAGAAGAAGAAGGCCGCCATGACCTCGTCGCCGTATGCCTCCACAAAGCCCCGGCCCAACACTCCCAACTCAGGCCTCAATGACCGGAATTCCCTTTTTAATCCGAACTGGACCTTCGAGGAGTCTGGGGGCCCATCCCACGGACGTTCCTGGGCTGCGTCCGAGGCGCAAACTGCGCCCCAGGTCTCGCGAGCTGTGGAGGAGGAAGAGTGGTACAGGAAGACGGTGCGACCTCGCAGGATTCCCTCCTGGGGCGGTGGCTCCTCCCCGTCGCCTCGAGGTAGCCGTCGCCTACGCCGCCGTGGATGGGCCGCTTCAGGTAGTCGCGGCAGGACAGACCACGTTATGGCCGCTGGTGCTCTCTAGTAGCCCTCACTTTTTGTGTGTACACACAGTCACATACGATTATCTGAACCACCACTGTCACCACCACCTCCGCACAGTAGTGTTGCCTTTTTAAAGCCCCCCGTATTCAGCGGATGTCCGCGCGGGTATGTGGACCTGCCCTTAAACCTTGTAATACTGTTCCTCCCTGTCCCAAGACAATTTGGGTCTATTAGGGTTGGAAGGGGGAGGGAGAAAGGTTAACGTAATTAAAGGGTTTTCTTCTGATAGGTGTGGAAGTTAACGTAGTTTTTTTATCCCAACCCAGCCCTTTGGACTTCTGGGAATGGGGGCCCGAAGTCGGACCCTCGGTAGTCCGCTCCTAATGAAAATGACAATAAGCTTCACATGACCTACGATGAGCCAGAGAACACTGCGGGATCTAAAGCCTACGCGGCAGAAAAGGCGAACGCGGTCGGCCACGGAAAAGTGTATTAGGAAACTGCAAGTCAAGTCTGACTGGAAAAGTAACGCGTATCTAAAAAATCCTACTGGGGTTCGTCTGTATTTGGCCCAATCCACTTCGAGAAGAAAATTAAAGGCGAGCCAATCGATTGCTCGCATACACGGATCGACCAGACTCGAGCCGAGCGGCCAATAGCGAGGCGCCACGGTCATGCTGACAACGTGCTTGAGAAAACGCACATGGCCCGCAGTGATTGGCTGGCTCATCTTCTTGGGTTTCGGCATCGTGGCTCTTGTTAAAGATCCCAAGGCGTTCGCATACGTTTTGTGGACTTTTGTGCACGGGTGGTAAATATGGGACACATTCCAACTCTCGCGTCTTTAGCGGCTGCTTTGCCCTGTCAGTTTCAAATGATTGAGTAGCACAGGAGTACGAAGAGTACAATGTGGGCCTTTTTGTGTCTACAGGCCGCTATAGACGGTAATGCTTATGCCTTGTTGATACGCGGTTAGGAAGCTGTGATTTGAAGAAGAAGAAGAAGAAGAAGGGCTCCCCGAAACAGGTTTATTCAAATGCTGACGTTTCAAAGATCTTGATCGGCTCTCCATTGTCAAAGCGTAAAATGCACTTAATCGGTCAGAAATTTCAAGTGGCTTGTTGTGTTGGTCGGCCTCATGCTGATCGATCTTTCTCTCCTCTCGCTGCCTCGGCCTCTCGGGGGACGGTTGACGGGCGTTTTGCCTGCGTGCTTTGTGAGTCACCACTCCGTCGAGGGTAGCTGATTGAACCTTTGTCGGGCGGTCGCTTTGACAGTGGAGAGCCGACCAAGGTCTTTGGAACGTCAGCATTTAAATAAATCTGTTCCGGAGAGCCCTTCTTCTTCTTCTTCTTCTTCTTCTTCTTCTTCTTCTTCTTTTTCTTCTTCTTCTTCTTCTTCTTCTTCTTCTTCTTCTTCTTCTTCTTCTTCTTTCTTCTTCTTCTTCTTCTTCTTCTTCTTCTTCTTCTTCTTCTTCTTCTTCTTCTTCTTTCTTCTTCTTCTTCTTCAAATAATCAACCCGAATCTCTCAACTTTGCCAATCTGAAGCTGTAATTTATTGCGATGAGGAAAACAAAGCTCACAAACTACCCATTTTTCTGGCTAGTTGGGGCCTAGAAATCCCAATGATCGGGTAGTGGAGCTCACGAACTACTAGTGGCCTGACTTTGTGTGCTTCGTCTAAAGTCACGACAAGGGGGAGTGGGATTGTCGTTAACGCAATAACTCGCGACTGTTGGAAAAGCGGTTTTCATTATTGCCAGTTGCTCAAGCCTGGCACCATAAATTATATGCACCAGCTTGAGTGAGATCAGCGGAGAACGGATAAAATTAGTATTCGCAAGACAAACGACCTGATGTCGTGGTCGACCAACCGCTTCTTAGCAAAGCGCGCGTCTCCATCTAGGGCTGTTGCAGTTGCGTTAACCAGGACAGATAGGGAGGGAGAAAGTTAGTCTGACATCGCAGCACAGCACCTCCCCGGAGGGTGGCGTAAAACATGAGAAACGAAGCGATTAGGGAAGCGAACTTGGCGCCCACTGTCGGTGATATAAACAGGAGCGACCAAGGGGATGGGATGTGTGTGTGCTGTGGTGTAGAGTTGGAGATTAAAGTTGGGCGCAGGCGAGATGGAGAAACAGGTAGGAGGCACAGGATAGGAGAGGCGGACTGACAGTGGTCCGGCACAGCAACTTTGAGGCGGTCCGCACTCATGACTTTCTCCCGAGTTTTGTGCTGGATTTGGAATGTCTTTGTCCCTTGAATGACAACCCGGAAGGGGCCGTTGTAAGGTGGTTCGAACAGTTGACGAACTCGGTCACATCGTAGGTAAACGTGAGAGATGACACTCGGAGCCGGGAAGACTAGTTCACGTACATCGGCGGTGCTCCTCGTCTGTATCGGGAGGAGGTGGGGAGATCATATGGCCGGGAAGTCGGACAGTGGCGCCGAACAGAAGTTCAGCGGCGAAACAGGCAAGGTCCGAGGGGATGCTCAATAGGAGCAAGGTAGGGTGGTCGGCCCAGTTCTCCGTGTCCTCTGCGGTTCTTAGGGAGGTCTTCGGCTGGTGGCGGAACCGTCCGACCACCCCGCTGGGGGTCGCTTGAAATGAAGAAGGAGACACGATCGCTGGGACAAGAGCTTTAGTAGCCTGCCGTTTTAGATTCTTGCTCGAACCCATTACCAGAGACAAAAGCAGATAAGTGTGGTTCATGCACATGCGACTGCAGTATTTATAGGATGCAGTTGCCATGCTACCGCATACCTATGAATATTCACGGCTCACCCCACTCCCTTCAACGGGGATCGTTGCACTTGGTGGGCTGACTGTGATGGTCGACATTCGCGTCGTTAATTGCTGAAATTTCATCACGTGCTTTGAATGTTGGTTTGATGATTACTCGACTAACGAGTTAGGACTTGAATATCGGCCATCAAACAGTCAGCACACCAAGTGCAACGATTCGTGATGAAGAGGGGGGGGGGGAGCCGTGAGTATCCATATGTATGCGGTAGCATGACGACTGCATCCTGTAAATACTGCAGACCCTTGTGCGTGAACCACCCGTATCTGATTTTGTCTCTGATGATGGGTCCGAGCAGGAATCCGAGACGTCAGGCTAATAAAGCTCTAGCGATCGTGTCTCCTTACTCACGACTGCTTCCTGGGACTCGTCTCTTCGCTTCTAGTCGCTTGATAGGCTGTCGTCCGGATCAGTGTAGAGCCATACCATGAGAGGAGCGACTGGAGGAGTTGAGATTCTAATTGGGCCCAGCGGCCAGTAAAGGAAGCACAGATGATGGACTCTTAGCTACTGAGGAAAGTCTTCACCACCCTTGGAGTCTCAACGTAGGGTAGAGGAAAGGCTTCCTGCCACCGAGTTGGCCCCCACAGGAGAGGAGCAGCCATTGGGCAGAAGCGGTGGTCTACAATGTCTACGTGAACGGGGCCAAATTTTACGCCGGTGCTGGGGAAGGTGCCGATGGGGAGCGTCGCTGTGCCGTTGGACCTCGTTTCTCTGACAGCCGAGGCACGCCCGTGTCCAATCTTCCAGGCCCCTGTGCATCCCGGGTCAGACAAAGCGGTCAGATGATGGAGACGGCTACGGGGCATGTGGATCCTGAGTATGGATGGTGAGGGTGGAAGGCGCGAGGGTTGAACAGGGGCGGTCGGGATGGCAGCAGTTGTGGTTGTTGGGCTGTTGGTGCATTGAGTCCGAAGGTGCCCGACGAGGCCGACCCGCGCGCGGGATGTTCGTTGACAGTAAGGACATGTAGGCAGGGTTGGAAGCTGACGTTGAGGGGTTGGGGAGCCCCTGGGACTTGTTAACTATTTTTTTGCCTTTGACGGCGACGATTCGGTTGGCGAAATAAGGGAAACTTGTTAGCTTTCAAAATTCAACAATTTACACTCCTCACTAACGTTCTCTGCAGAGTTTGAGGCAGACAATGAAATCGCGTTCCTCGACGTTCTTCTGCACAGACAAGAGGATGGGTCTATCCAACGTAGGGTATTCCGAAAGGAAACCTGGACCGGACAATGCATTAATTTTTACAGTTTTGTTCCCCTAAATATTAAACGCAATTTGGTCCAGGGATTGGCAGCTAGAGTGCGACGTATCTGTTCTCCTGAGACTGTGGAGGCAGAACTCCAGCAGCTGCGGGATATACTCCACGAAAGCGGATACACAGGAAGATTTATCCTCCGAAATATTGGGGAGCGCACTGCAAAGCCCACCATGGCAACTGCAGAAAAGAAGGACTTATTTATAAGACTGCCTTTTCAAGGGACGCAGCAAGTGACCTAGTAAGAAGACGTCTGAAGACAGCGATCTTACGTATATGTTTCACTGACTCTCCCCTCCTACGCTTGGAAGTTAAAGACCGACTCCCGTCGCAGGCCACATCGATGTGTATTTATTCATTCACTTGCTCCCGTGGAGCGGGCTACATTGGCCGTACAACGAGGCGCTTGGGAAAGAGAGTACGTGAACACATATCGGCCCGGCTAAGCAAAGGTGAAAAGAAATCGATATCGAGTTCTATTCTCGCACATCTGGTCGATACGAATCATCGAGTCGATGCCAAAGAAGCCGTTCAGGTTGTCTACCGGCGACCAGCAAAGTTTTTCAGAAGCCTACGCCAACGGGTGCTAGCTACAGCTTAGGCAGTGGCTATGCGGCTAGTCACTCCAGTGCTATACTGTCAGAAGACTCCGACACAGGCGCTCTATCTTCCGTGGCCAACTTCGCCCCAACCTCCTGATGGCAGGGTGTGTGCACAACGTACCCGACGTACTCACAGCCTATGCCCTCCCTCGTTCCCTTGACCCAATGACCACGACACGCCGACCACGCCATAGCACGCCTCTTCATGCGAGTGGCGTGGGAACGATGGATGCTTATTGTCCCCGAATCACTTATAAGCCATGTAAATCGCATAACTTAAACTTCTATGCAACCGTTTTGACCTGATGAAGAGTTATCGAAAACACGTGTTCGCCAATTTGACCTTTCAACATCCGCTGAAATTTAAACATGTCGATGCTGCACCCAAAATTCTCCATTCGAGTCTGCCTTACTGTCGTCTCTTCTCGTTAAAGACATGCGTGCGGACGCACTTAGTCGTGTGGCTAGAGGAAACGTCACCAAACCACACCAAAGGGGTTGCAATCTCTGAAGGTCTCTGGGTCTGGTGACAAAGGTGGTGAAAATGTCATTATGGACAAAACAGATTCTGTGAACATGGCAAACAAAGTCGTCAATCGCAGGTAAGCTCACACACCACTCGCTAAGTACCCAACGAAAAAGCAGGCTGCGGCTGTAAAGAAGTTGAATGAGCTTGCTCGACTACAACCGGTAAATTCAAACGACTCCAGAGCCACGACTCTTAGTAGCTTCCGTATCACACATGCACCTGGACCTCCAAAGGTGCACAAACTAGATGCGCCATTAAGGATCTTAGTGCCATCCTTTGGACGGCCGATCCACAACCTTGTCAAGTGGTTGTACAGGCACCAGAAGTACAGCGTCAAAAACTCTGGAATTCTTCCAAAGAATTCAAGCGTCTAAAGTTAATTCTGATGAAGATATTCTAGCATTTGATGTGGTTGCCCAGTTTTCCTGAATACCACATGATCTGGTAATTGAGAGCGTAGTCCGACACTTCCCGAAACGCCTTAGAAATGCCTAGGCTCTGTCTCAATAACTTGTCAATTAGATGGCAAGTATTACCAACAGATTAAGGACCATGGTAGAAGAGCGCTCACAGATCACGTTACGGAACTCACTCGTCCCATTGTGTCTCAGGGAGTCCGAAAGGTAGCCGAACAGCAGGGCGTGATATTAAGCAGAATAGCATTACCGACAAAGACAAGGGAGACTGGGATGGCCACTTCTGGCTTATCAGTCGTCGTCGTTACCTAACCCCGAAGTATTGGACACCTGAGGCCCGATCCTGCGACTAGTTGGTTAGAAGTCCAACGCCTCTGACCACTGAGCCACGGCTTCGTTGTCATGTCGGCCGGTAGGCTTGCCACTATCGGGCCTACTTGCAAAACTAGTTCTACTGCACCTAGAAGCGGAGGTTATGCGGACCTTTCAGCTAAAATGTGGCTCCGTTACGTAGGTTACACGTTCGTCATCATTACGGCCTGTGAAGTTGAAAAATTTCACCAAAAGCCTGAATGGCGCCTTTCCAGCTATACGGTTTACTCGCGAAGAGGCAAGAGAAGCTACTGCCTGTTCCTAGACGTAAGTATATAAGGACTCAGCGACAGCGGCCTCGCACCAAACGTTCACCGAAAGGGCTCTAAAGCCGAAACATTCTAAACTATATGAGCAACCAACCTGCGGCCCACAAAAGAAGCTGTGTTCGAATCCCTTTCCATGGGGCTTATCATAAATGAAGTAGCGATTAGTTACTGGCCTTCTTTTGTCGGTTATTGCGGCTCAACGGGTGCCCAATCGGCTTTGTGGGAAACTGTCTAAGACGTCACAAAGCTTCGACAGTAACGGAGATAATGTGCTACGTAAGTTCTACTCCCTGACATACATGATAAAACTTTCCGAAGTGATCGTCCGACAATAAAATCAGTTCGGCATCTCCGTCGTCCACAAACCGGCGTCCTCTCTGGGCACAGCATCATCCCGAGTAAAAGATCTCAAACCGAAGGAGTATTAAACAAATGTCACTCACCGCATTTCATGTGCCAACTACTCTTACGTTTATGTTAGGGATACTGGCCGACGACTTGAGACCCACATTAACGGACATAGGCTGGTCACCCGCCGCCATGACCATTTGTCAGTCGCCTTGTCGATCTGGGCGCTCATTACTTAGGTCTGCGTGCTCGGCTTGCTAACTCGCGCCCACGATTTAACAACAGCCGCTAATCCATACTGGGCCATGTAGAATCACTATTTCGCCTTCTCTCCCCCATAAACAGCGAATCGCAACTGCAACCCCTAACACCTCTTCTTTGGATCACTGACATCTGCCCCCACGCCGGATCGACGACCATTAAGTCCACTGTCTGCAGTCTCATTGAATCGTCATCCACTCAACCCCCCAACGCAGGGAGCTACAGCAGTTCCCCGCTCCCCTCCCCGCCGCAGGTCCTCGCCCAATTATGTGTCCACTCCTTTCACACACCAGTTGCTTGCCTGTGAATGGCTTTCCTGTCGCGTCAACTAGTCTAGTGTGACTGTCTCACTTTCTCTTTTATCTTCATTTCGTCTAACGTCGTGTTGGTGTCGCCAGCTCGAAAATTCACGAGTACAACTGGGTACTGTTTCGGGCTTTATTTGCCTTCATTCAGCCAATCATAACCATGACCAGCAGCTGGCAACAAAAACACAAACATGCGCACAGACGCACCTGCCGATTGATGCCTGAGTTGCCGGAATGTGTAGTCACTAAAAATTCTCGGCTTTTATTAAATGAACAGGCACCTGTAATGCGAGTCTTGTTCCTAGCAAATGTATGCCTAGTTTCGAGCGCATGCATGGCAACTTGGGACAAGTGGCGGTCGACATCAGGTTACGAGAACCGACCCTATACGCCCAGAAGAACCTTGTTCAGGCTCCGCGCTTACCGTGGTCAAAGGTTGACTAACGACATACAACTTTCTGCGCCCTCCCGCTCTCGCCTAGCCTGTATTTTAAGAACTAACTTTTGTCG